GGAACGTACGAGGCCGCCGCGGAACATACGCATAACGTACGCGGAACGTACGAGGCCGCCGCCGAACATACGCGGAACGTACGAGGCCGACGCGGAACGTGCGCGGTACGTACGAAGCTGACGCGGAACGTACGCGGAACGTACAAAACTGCGCGGAACACACTAAGCGTAAAGGGTTTAGTGGACTGTATTGTAGGAAAAGGTAAGAAACCTCGCAGACGCGTGGTTGGGATCGCGATGTTTCTGCGGCCGTTTAATCACGTCTTTTCTCTCTCTCTCTTTCTCTCTCTCCCTCTCGCTTCCTCTCTCCCTCTTTCTCTCTCTCTCTCTCTCTCTCTCTCTCTCTCTCTCTCTTCCTGTCTCCCTCTTTCTCTCTCTCTCCCCCTCTCTCTCTCTCTCTCCCTCTCTCTTCCTGTCTCCCTCTTTCTCTCTCTCTCTCCCTCTCTCTCTCTCTTGCTCTCCCTCTCTCTTCCTGTCTCTCTCTTTCTCTCTCTCTCCCCCTCTTGCTCTCGCTCTCCCTCTCTTTTCCTGTCTCCCTCTCTCTCTCTCCCCCTCTCTCGCTCTCCCTCTCTCTTCCTGTCTCCTTCTTTCTCTCTCTCTCCCCCTCTCTCTCTCTCTCGCTCTCCCTCTCTCTCCCTCTCCCTCTCTCTCTCGCTCTCCCTCTCTCTTCCTGTCTTCCTCTCTCTCTCTCCCTCTCTCTCTCTCGCTCTCCCTCTCTCTTCCTGTCTCCTTCTTTCTCTCTCTCTCGCTCTCCCTCTCTCTCACGCTGCTACAGTGGTGAGCATTGAGAATCCCGTGTACGAGGAGCAGCAGCAGCAGCAGGACGGGCCGCCGTCGCTGCCGCACCAGCCGAGCGTTGAGTTCCAGCAGACGACCACTGAGCACCACGTCGAGGAGCTGGAGGCGGAGTTTGGCGGCGAGGAGGAAGACGCCAACCTGGAGGACATCGAGCACGTCGCGTGAGTGCTAATTATTCGCTTAATTAAGTATACGGGGAGCAGGGGGTGCGTACGCAGAATTGTACCGCTATTACCTAGGGATGTGTCTTTTTCTTTTTCTTCCGTTATAAGTCTTCCATCAATTGGCTGATGATTATGACTGTGACAGTGTGTCAACGACAGCTGAAATTTCTCGTCATTATCACGATAATTTTGAATTTTAATTGAATTGAATTTAAATGTCATGATTGGTAATTTGGTATTCAGTTAATTGATTGATTAGTTGGGATGAGGCTGTGAGTAATGAAGGTGGAGATCCAGTTCTTTCTTGAAATCGTCCTCCGGGTTGATGATAACCAGTTCAGATGGTAGCGTGTTCCACAGTAGGATCGTTCTGGGAAAGAAGGAGTACAAAAGATAGTGTGTACACGAGATAGCACTGATATTTTTGACATTCTTGGTCAGGTTATCATAGTAACATGTTTCTACTGCTATTCAGACATGCACGTGCCCGCGTCATGTACTATTCACAAGCACTAATGGAATTACTCTTACTTTTCTCTACAGCCAAGAGACCGAAGAGTAAGTGAACAGATAAGCAGATTTTAGCACATGTGTCTTGCTAGTCATTTCCCTGTTTAGTGAGATGCATGTGTCAGTGCATGATGTGTGGTGGTGGGGAGCTTATATATATATTATATTATATATATATTATATATATATATATATATATACATAATGTATACATAATATAATATATATATAATATATATATATACACTGGCACTGTGACTACATGCGGTGACATAGTTCTACTTCTTAAGTAATGCTGATAGTTCTACTTCTTAAGGAATGCTGATAGTTCTACTTCTTAAGGAATGCTGATAGTTCTATAGAACATCGTTAACGATTATGGAGAATGTCAGGAGTGAATAATAGCGATCGCTATTATTCACTCCTGACAATGTGTATATAGACAGTCTGTGTTACTATGGGTATCAGCAGGTGTTCTTATAAGTACCTGGAGACGCAGGTAGCTATAGCTGTGCTGTGAAGCATTTCTGTAACATGAGAGAGAGATGCATGTATCAACTTACCTGTAAATGGCCATTTAATGGGGTGATACTCCATTAGGAGTGTTCCCAACTTTAATGTCATTAATGGTCATAATAACATATATATATATGTATATATATATATATGGTCATGGTCATATATTAGTTTGTGGTTTAATGTCATTTAGGTTAGGGTTAGGGTTAGGGTTAGGGTTAAGATTATCAATCATTAATCATTAATCATTAAAATGATATCAAAGTTGGGAACACTCCTAATGGAGCGTTAGCCATTTAATGGCCGACGTCATCATATTACTAATAACCAAATGTGTAACGTAATAACATCAGGAGTCTATATTATGCACTCCTGATTACATTATATCACATCACATCACATCACATCACATCACATTACATTACATTACATTACGTTACATTATATTACGTTGTGTGTTGCGTAACTACATACACATCGCACTTGCGCGACCCCCCCACCCTCACCCACCTTTACTCCCACCCCACTCCCACACACACTTCACTCACGCTCACATGCCAACTAATTAGGTTGGAGATGCCGTAAACACCTGAGTCACGAGGTGACGGGAAGTGAGGACGGTCGCTTGCGCCGTCATGCTCGTGTTGGCATGCCTGCAGATTTTCTAATCGTCGGTGTGCCATAGTCGGCACTGCTAGTGCGTCGCCACGAGCGCTAATTGAATGGCGCTTCGTTTGTTTGATTAACTGTTTGGCTAGACGGGCGCGTGATTGGTTGGGAATCCGCATATGATTCCCGATGCTGGAAATCGCGCAATTCCCGATTAATTAGGTATAGACACGGTTGCATCTCATGCGCCGGTGTGTGCTTCAGCGTTAAAATTTCTCATTTTTTCCATTTGCTTAAGGTGTGGATTTTTTTATCCACAGTTTAGTGAAAAGAATCATGTCTCGTCGCTTGTTGAATAGTTGAATACAGTTTGGTAACGCATGGCCCACGCGGCGTTACCTCCCTGACACTGCCGGCCATCACGAAACTCGTTTTTTAAAAGCTGGGACTCTTTTTATTTTCTGTTTACAAGGCGCCGCTATTGTGTGCGTGACGCCTGTTTCGCCGTGTTGCGTCGTAGCTATATATACGTTCATAACGTGTTATAAACATCAAGGTTGGACGAAGGTCCTGCGCAATTAGACACATATAATCAGCATAATGTGTGTTAAATACTGCACGCATGTGCCAATCCTGGCACAGTACAGCAGTATTTTATGGCCTATTATTTTGCCAGTACTGCATGAGCCAGTTGTGCCCCGCGCGGTCGCGTGTATTCGTTCCTTGTACTTGAGCAAGCCATGAACAAGCGAGAGAATGTGGAATTCAGCAGATATTCCCTGACGTTTGTCGCGCACGTTTTCTGCATTGGTTCTAGCACATAGGTAGAGGTCTCGTACATGGCTATACTATAGGAGGATGTCTCGTTGCAGTGGCATTGGCTGACTCTGGCATAGCCATAACATCCCGCATTGAATTGCTGTCGAACAGCAAGCATTGCATGGAATTACGTTGAATCTAAATTTAGCTCACTGTTTTGACGTGATGCTGCAGCACTTTCAGCTCAGTGACGTATATGTGAAACACGAGGCATCGTCTGGCAATACTGAATGAGTTTTAGGTTAAGGTATAGCCAGTGAACTTTCATAAGCACTGCACGTACCTCTTGGCTTTAGTTCTTTCTTTCTTGCTTCCACGTTTCTCAAACATTTCTTAACTTCGGAAGTTCATTGTTGACACAATATGATACCTAAAGTTATCTTGGGGTAGATATAAACAACGTCAAGGAGGACGTAATTAAGTTACTGTTAGAAGAAGACTTGTGCCCTCCTAACAACATGGCGTTATTGTGCACTGCACTGAAATAATGATACAAGATATTGTTCCTGTTTGGTCACTAATTAGCATTTATTGATTGCCGAGGTACACATCGCAACATTGCATGATAAAAATCACGATTTTCAATAATATGCTCTCACGTGCAGTTATATCTGAGTTGATCGATTGTGGGGGTGACGATTTATGTTGAACGTTTTTTCACAATTAAATATAAGCGGGATAGTTGATGAATTATTCAGTATTAGCTTAGCAGATGATTGCATGTAATAGACTGTGATTAACTGAATGCGCAGGTGATTCAATATTTATTTGTGTTGAAATCGTACTGCTGGCATGCTAGCTGAAGTATTTATGCACGATGTAATCGTAGTCAAGCGTAGGCCATTATTTTGCTTGCATGGTTAGTAATATTTGCCTTTATGTTTTCTCTCTCTCTCTGTCACGTTTTCGTTTTGCCTTGCTGCATGAATTAGGGAAGTAAGGAAGAGACGGAATGTCAAAGGGAATGAGCAGGAAGACGGGCAGGAAATGACGGAGTTCAATCATGTTGCCTGCCAACATTCCGATTCCAGCAGTTACTCAGGAAGTCTCGAGGAGATGGACGCCATGATAAAGCCGGAAGCGCCACTAGCGCCCGTAGAGAATGGCTCTGTCGCCATGGACGTGGAGGACTCTCAGCCGCGCTCTCGTGCAAACACAAGAACATCTTACCGGAAGCGATTGTATGTAACGCTGTGTTACTGTCATTATGTAGCACTCCAATTTCCAAATACACCATACCCCTAAGATTTACACACAAGATTTCATGGAGTGGTTTCCAGTTAACTTCATCTGCCTCCGTTGAGGTAAAACCTCGGAATATTACTTTAGTGTTTCGCCTTTCCTATTTAAGTTTCATCCATCGTGGTTTTAGTACAAGTTTGATGGCAAGCAAGTATTCACACTTTCTAAATTGAATCAGGAGAGTGTAATATTGTTATCCGAGTATATAATTACATCACTTCTTATCTGATAGTAGAGATTATCCTCCTTATTAATCACCTTCCTTTTCACTGAATATAGGTGGAGTAAATCGCTTGCCTACTATGTGAACAACTGTGAATCCTATTGATGTTGCTTTCACGTTACAGACCTTCAATGAAAAGCATTATGACGCTGGATTTCGCCAGCATAGAGAAGGACGAAGAGGACCGCATCTTAACAAAGGGCATGCTGCTGAGCATTGCCTATGGAGCAGCTACCGGGGGCACGGCCACCCTTACCGGAACTCCGCCTAACCTCGTGCTGAGTGGCCTACTGGAAACGTAAGTGCCTGTGTCATGACTACGCTGGGTCTCAGTGTGAGGCCAGGGGCCCGTTGTCAGAAACAAAATTAGTCTTGACATTAGTCTTAGCATTAACTTTTTCTCTTAGACCGTCGTCAGAAACCCTGCGAATTTACCTGAATGGAAAGTCGTAGCAGATTTCCTCGTAACAATACGAAACAAAGCGCTGTCGACGGTCTACGAGAAAATGTTAGTGCAGAGTTAGTAAGTGTAGAAGATACTCGATGCATTTCACGTGCTGTTAGTTCAGCAATCTCCCTGGATCTCTGCAGGTACTATGGTTCTGATGCAGGCGTCAACTTTGCTACCTGGTTTGTCTACTCTGCACCTGGAGCCCTTGTCATGCTGCTAATTACGTGGCTATGGTTACAGTTCGTGTTCCTCGGATGGAGGTGAGATCAATTGTTGCTCTTTTGCCGCATTCATTCGTCAGCCCAATGACATGGGGCGCATTCGTTGTTCTGCGTATGACGTTAAATAACACGTGCTATAATATACCCTCTACTGTTCTGTTACTGTTAGTGTAAGTAACGGAAACTGCTTCTTCATGCTGTAATGCTTTTGTAATTTTGTGGGAAGTCGTCAGAAGTGCATGTTTGCTGTACACAGGACCTTGTTCGGCTGCTGCATCAAGGGCCGCAACACCTCAGACGCCACCGTGGAGCGAGTCATCCGCGATCAATACCGACGCTTGGGACCCATGTCGTAAGTAGTTTACGTTCACCTTAAAGCCTACCGCACACGAGGGGAACCAGCTCAGACAAAGGTTACTCGTGGCCAATTCCTCACACTGTTGAGGCGTTTCCTCTCGCGGTTCTCAGACCGCACACGAGAGAAGTCAGATCAGCACTTTTCCCACAACTCATCAATAATAACCCATCATAGATCACGTGACTGAGCAAAATAGCAGATTACACTGCGTCCTCGCATGCGCATTGGTATCGCGAGAGTGAGGAAATGGCTCAGTTCACCGCACACGGTGAGTTTTTCGCCACGCGTGACCAAAAATATCGAACACGTTGGACATTTGTTTCGACGGCTGAAATGACTAAAACCTCACACAAATTTGCCCGCTCACGAGAGGAAACCGCTCAACAGTGTGAGGAATTGGCCACGAGTAACTTATGTCTGAGCTGATTCCCCTCGTGTGCGGTAGGCTTAATGTGTTCTGGCGGCTCGTTTTGCAAATTGCTCCAACCGTACCTTATGTATAAATATACGTGACTGTACGCACTGTTGTACTTATGTTGAACAGGTTTGCTGAAGTCGAGGTGATGGTGTGTTTCTTCTTCGTGGTGTTCCTGTGGTTCACACGCGATCCCAAGTTCACTTCCGGCTGGTCGAAACTCTTTGACTACGGTACGGGGACAATGGTGTCTGACGCGACGGCTGCTCTTATTGTTGCCTTCCTGTTGTTCACGCTGCCTGTGGAACCTCCGAAGCTTCTGTGGTTCATGTGGAAGCCAACGAACCCAGGTAAGTGGGTATAGAAGAAGATGATGATGAATTGATGATGATGATGATGATGATGATGATGGTGGTGATGATGATGATGATGATGATGATGGTGGTCATGATGGTCATGATGATGAAGATGTTGATGATAATGATGATATTGGTGGTAATGGTGATGGTGGTGGTGATGATGCTAGTGAAGAATGACTAGCGACAACACGGCTAATGACAATAGTAGCCATGCTGATGGTGATGATGATATCTAGTGTGATGAAAAGAGCATTGATAACGTTAGTTGATGGTCATGATAATAGAAGTAGTCAAGAGTGTCGAACACACATAGTCACATTGCCGATGACAGTGTGTTGAGAGAGTGCTGGCCTTAAGCAGGCCTCTGTGGCTGCAGTAATGTTGCCAGGATTAAAGAGCTGTTCACGAATCATTCGTATCAACTAACCTAAGTATCTTGCCGCCGATGAAACCTTTACTTCTACTACATGGCACAGATTCTCAGGAAGCCCTGATCGATTGGAAAACAGTTCAGCACAAGATGCCCTGGGGTGTCGTGTTTCTGCTTGGTGGTGGATTTGCTCTCGCTAAAGGTGTAGAGGTAAGATGCCAGCAATATGGATTTACTGCAAATGGATACACGGTTATGCTGATTATGTGATTATGCCTCAAGTATACATGTTGTGGTATCACACACACACAGACTCTCTCTGTCCTGATTTCTATCGCTATCTCTTTCCCTTTCTCTTTCTCTCCCTCTCTATTTCTCTCTTTCTCTTTCTCTCTCTCTCTCTCTCTCACTTTCTCGCTCTTTCTCTCTCCCTCTCTCTAGCTCTTCTTCTCCCTCTCTCCCTCTTCCACACTTTCTCAGTCACCTTACTTTCTCCGGCCCTCTTTCTCTATGCATCTTGTTCCATACCCTAGCTGTCGCTTTCTGCTCTATCTCCCACTTTTACTCGTTCTCTTGCTCGGTCGTCAGGAGTCGGGCTTGTCGCAGTACATCAGCGTGGGACTGTCGTCGATGATCAGCTCCTTGCCGGTCGCCGTCGCCGTGCTCATCTGCTGCATCATGACAGGCTGTCTCACCGAGGTCGTCAGCAACACAGCGACAGCCAACATAGTGCTGTCACTGCTGCCCGACTTGGTGAGTGTTCTAATAAGTATATATATATACCCTTAACATCTATAGCGTTATCTTTCATCCCTCTACTTAGCACTCAGCAACTAGAGATAGAGTGTGGAAAATTAACTCGGTGAGTGCTCTAATAAGGCTGAGAGGGTCTATGTCCCCCAGGGTACTGCCGGAACGTACCCTGGGTATGGTCCGGTATACCGGAACGTACCCTGGTACTATCTAATATGCCAGACCGTACCTCGCCTACTCCACTAACGAGTCTATAGGGAGTCGCCTACGCCTACTCCCTAACCCTAACCCTAACCCTAACCATATCAAATAGTTACCAGGGTACGTTCCGGCAGTACCCAGGGGGACAAAGACCCTATGAGCTCTAATAAGTATATATATACCTTTAACATCTGCTTCTCTACTTAGCACTCAGCAACTAGAGATCGAGTGTGGAGAGTAAACTCGCAGTGCTACCAGTGGACTAACTTGCTGTAGTATTTACTGCGAAAGGAGCTGTGTGGCCTCTCGGAGATAGGCCGACGGAGATAGGCACTATATACCCTGTGCGCCACATAGGCATGGGAAGGGATATAACTTAACTAACTAACATCATATATGTCAATTTTGGTGCTTTTAACCACAAAATTCACAATTCTTTCGCATATCGGCTCCACTATAAGAACCCCCTGACAAATATATTCAGCGATCGAATTTCAGTGCTGATATTCAATCTGGGAATCAGAGTGGTGTTCTTCTGGATTTGCTAAGCAAATAATCACCCCGAGCAAATCTGTGTCGATCGTTTAAGCGAAAGTTGACATATTCGAAGTGCTGGCTGTATTAGTGTGTGAATCAATAATACCTGCAACTTAGTATCTAAAAGTTCGGGCTGAAACAGAACATGCAGACGACATGTCCATTCGCCCAGGCCCCCTCTATGTGTATAAGTATGGTGCTGCCATCTTTAGGGTACATCATGCATGTATTTGGAAAATAGCCACGTATATAGCACGCAGTACTAATTCGTATGCGGACAAAACTGTTTTCGACACACATGTACATAATGTAGTTAATTTGGCTGTCCTACACCTGCCATAATTTCAAATCAAACGTGTACAGATCTTTCCGATTGTGGGCGAATCAGTTTATTGAGTAGTACCCCAAAAGGCCAGTTGTGTTTGGGTCCATCTGTTTTACATCCCGTAACACATTTGTGCCAAATATGGTGCTTCGCCTTAATTGGTGCTACGCCTTGTATCACAATTTCAGCAAACCATGTGCTAAGAAGCACTACAAGTAAATTCGTATAAATATGACTTTGAAATATCAAGCCCTACATATTTATGAAAGATGAATCGCGAAGTTTGAAAGAAGTCAAATTAGTGGGAAAATTTTGACTTTTTCGTCATTGTTTTTTGTATATTTGCTATTAACATTTTCAAACTAGTAATTTATTTGAAGCCGTAATTCACTCATATTTTCATTTGATACATAAGGGAGTGTGTGCATGCAAGGTAAAATGTCATTTTACTTTTATTCCCCAGGCGGCTAGTCTAAAAATCAGCCCACTGCTGCTTATGTTTCCCTCGACAATAGTGGCATCATTTGCATTCTCGTTGCCAGTAGCAACACCTCCGAATGCAATCATATATGCGACAGGAGAGCTGAGCGTGTTGGATATGGTGAGGGTCTGGTTATAGGATAGAATCATAGAAGATTGTGATTCAGTGAACAATAATTAATTTGTTGTTTTTATCAAATTATGTATACTTATATTAGTTATCTTATAATTCGTTTTTAATTCATATTTACCTTATATAGTTATGATTTAATACAAGTTTTCAGTACGTCCAATAAGTTAAGTATACATTTTGTGTTAGTGCATGAGTTAACTTCAGCGCTCCATTATTTACAGAATTAGGTGCCGGCCATTTTATTGTTACAGAATGCATTCGGATGATATGAGTTGCATACGTATATCAAGTTCGTTCATATCTACGTGCATTTCTAGGTGAGGACGGGAGTATTGCTGGACGTGTGTGGAATCTTGCTTGCTACGTTTATGGCTAACACCTACGGTGTGAAGTTCTTTGGGTTTGGTGAGATACCAGCTTGGACTTATGGAGGAGCAGGAATTATTCCAGCGTTCAACGCCACCTCGTGACAGCCGTAGACAACGCGACCCTGCACTTGCCCTTCCCCACCTACCTGTCACCACAGGTGCTGGCTTGGCCTGTGAACGCTCAGATCGTGCGAAACAATCGCCATAGCAACTCACGGCGAGAGCTTGCACTGCTTTAGCGCTGGGCGTCCTTTGCGCGAAGATGGAACGTTGGGTTTTGTTGAGGCAAGGCGGACATCACTCGTAGCACTGACAAACAGGGGGCGCCAAGAAGAATAGTACGCACGTTTATCTTCTGGATTTTCCATGGAGTAGAACACTGCTCATGACAGTCATCTTCTGAGCAGAAAAGGACGTGGAAACACTAAAGGGGGTTTTACATGTTTTGGACTCGTAATTCTGATTGAATAACCGAGAAGGATTGAATCGGTTACTCATGTTACCGTGAACATATGTATACTCAGTATACATACATTTGTAGAGTATATAGTACATAGAGTGTACCTATGTTCACCACCTTACTAGAACTAGTCCAATAGGTGACACGGAAAAGTGTAATTTAGCTCATTTGTACCTAAAATATAATGCATGGAGAGGCGGTAGTGATTAACTATACAATGCAATTAAAATTACAATATTTTAAGAAACCTGTCGATGGGAGTTTTTCTTCATACAAAGAAAACTGCAAATTGGTAGCACCTTAAAGAATGCAAAATCAGGACTTCCTAGTAGAATGTGGTTGTTATGGCATACACGTATGACAGACATGTACCATGGCAGTGGTATTTGACATAACTAAGATTGAATTCATTGAGTTAAAATGTTTACACTTTGGCATGGAATCTTTTAATGTTATCATCTCGGTGTTTAAATGGCTTTTAGTTTTTCTGAGGGAATCAAATGGTGAGAGAGTTGCTTACTCGTTTGGTATTACGGCTGTAAAAGTAGGACAAGGGGCGTGATCATGCAGCGGGTTATATATGTTATTATTCAAGCATTACCCACAAGATGTACCTACTTTTGTATAAAATCTCTAAATGTAACTGTGATCACGGGAATGTGTGCAGCCGTCACATGATATAACGTTCATGTGTAACTTCAATGTGCAGCCAAGTGTTTCTTGTGGGGTTTTTCTAGCGCAGTATAGTCTTAAATATTTCATATACCCGGTTCTGATATGATATGTGTTGTCGTATAGAACTGTAGTTCTGCCTAAACTTGAGTTTTAAATTGTGCTATACCTCAAAGGATCCGAGTTCTGTATCATTTCAGGATCATGGCGAAAACGAGGCAGTTATGTATTTAATATTGCACTGTAACACGTTGAACTTGCTTCCATGTTTCTGTGACGGTATACTTGAAGTTGTTCGACACAATATTCTACTGAATTAGGGTACACTAATTGCAGGTAGGGTGTATATATATAGTTTTTTATTACAAGAGTCCTGTAAAAAAAAATAATGTTAATTTATAAAAGTGCACGAATCCTTAATATAATTTAATATTTCTAATTCCAGTGCCGATATTCACTAGTTAAACTGAAGAATGCACGGGTTCCAGAACCAATTATAGATAAGTTATAGTTGAGTTTATAACAGTGATGTATAGTAGCGGTGTTATTATGGTGGAAGAATAGAACTAAGAATAAGGAATTAATTATTTGTGAATTCTACGAATAAAGACAGCGAATGAGAACTTTGAAAGTCTTATTTACTTCCGTTTCAGCATCTGGTGGTAATTACATGCGTTTGGGTTAATTATTAATACGCGCGTGTATTGAACATGTAATTAATATAACCCCGTGTATACACGTGAGTGCAGGTACAAGCTACACAAGATATTCTATAGACAACGCTTATGATTGGAAACAGTGTGACTGTCATGATTAGGGTATAATCTTCTTAAATGCGCATCACTATAACAACGTATAGATTCCATGGCAGTGCGGTTACACAAGATATAATCCTGTCGGTGACAGCACACATCAAGTGTTCCACGCAGTTCAAGAGTTCAAGAGTTCCACGCAGCAACCCGATGCTCTCAACACTGGTTCATTCAACCATACTTGCAGGGGGTATATAAAGACGCGCGATTAGTCCATTTTAATTATCGAGAAATTTGGAAATGCCTGGTTAATTTTTTTATCATTAGTGATTGCAACGGGGACTCGAAAAAGCTGAAATTACGATCTTCAATGAACCGGGAGCAGAGAAATGGCATATTTTTACCGGGAAAACTGGGAGCATGCGCCCCGTTCTCACCTCTTAGAACTGAGGACTTGTATCAGGGCCTCCGAAGTTCCGTCAGCCAGCAAGTGCTGTCGCTCTATAGTTTCGTTAGTTAAGAGACGGTTAAAGGCGTCCAGAGGACCTGTGACAGAGCAGTGCCGCCACATTAAAGTAACGAGGGCGCGATTCGCGATGCAAGAATTCGTTCACGAGGGCGCACACGAGGGCACACGAGAGTTATTTTACTCAAGTAAAATGACGCATGAGTCATTTTACTCACGTGTGCGGCGGATTTTCGTTGAGTAATTTGACGCATGCGTCATTTTACTCACGTGTGCGGCGGATTTTCGTTGAGTAATTTGACTCGTGCGTCATTTTACTTGAGTAAAATAACTCACGTGTGCGCCGGGCTTAGGCATGCCACACTCCCCCCCCCACTCAGTGTTATTTAAGGTACGCATATGCTCGTTCCCTCCCTTTGAAAGCACCCCCCTATCGCAGGACTGCCACAATTTCTGAACCCCCATTTCGCGGGCTTTTTGCGGGTTTTTCCTGCCTTGGAGACCCCCCTAAATCCGAAATAATCCTGAATGAGCTTTCAAAACTAGCAGGACTTTCAGGAATTTGATCCCGGGATTTGATAAAGTTTTCTATGCTATTCAAGATGAAAGAGAGAGAGGAAAAACACCCCCTTTTTAAAGAAATCTCCGAGTGAAAAGTCAAATACACCCCCTTTTTTTACAATTCTTGGGCCGGATTTTGTCGCGCGAAAAATACCCCTTTACCGGAGATTTTGGGAACGCGCATGCGGTCCCTCCGACCTCGGAGGGGGGGGGGCGGGCCACACTCCTGATTAAATGCGTAGCGTCGGGCCTGCCTCATTTCCTTTAGACGACATGTCACCGATGTGTCCGCGCCCTTTCTATGTAGACCCTACATGCCTCCGAAGCGAGCAATACTATAGTCAACTATACATTCCTACATTTGGTGACCTACCTCTACATCGGCCCGATTACTATATATATATAATATGTAGCTAACCCATTTTCCCTCAGGGGGGAAAGCCACGTGCGTATTATGTTCTGGAAAGGTACCGCTATTGACCATGCAATGTATCTACATTTCTATGGGGGGAGCGCAACTGCACCCTTCTCCCACTCCCTGCTAGCTACGGCCCTTCTATACATGCACACGCCAGTGGCGTAGCTAAAGATTTATTTCAGCGGGGGGGGGGGGGCACTGGGCAGGCCTTACATTTTCGTTGGGGCAGAATATATAACTTTTCTTACGTATTATACTGGTGTCTAACGGCATTGTTTTTATTCAATTTTTTTTTAATCAAGCATTGAATTTTCAAGTGGGGAGGGCACCTGGGGAGGCACAGAAATTTGTGGGGGCACGTGCCCCCAGGCTCCCTCGTAGCTACGCCCCGGCTGACAGCACGCACCATACACAACGTCCGAACACGTGCAGATCGCCCGTGCGCGCCGTACGCACGCACGCACGCACAGCACACATAACACACGCACAACCACTGTGGTGGTCCGTGGGCCACAACAATCACACACACAAACACAGACACACTAGCACAGCGACAACGCGGCGTCGCACACACACACACACACACACACAACACACACACACACACACACACACACACACATATATATATTATTATTATAAGTATACCGCTGGCACAGCTAGGGAAGCACAGCAAACTCTGGTACATAATTTTGAGAAAATGAGCCATTTACATTTAATCCGCATGTTTTTAGTATTCGTGTCTAAATGGGTACGGCTGGGTTCATTCCCAGTTTAATTCTTAGGCGTAAAAAGGTTCCATTTCCAAGTTCCCGGGTAAAATTGCAATTTTAGCTTTCCCGCGTCCCGGTTTAGCTTCTATTACTGAACACGAAAAATTATCTGGTATTTCCCTGGTACTTCTCTATATACGGTACTCGGTCAAGGCGCGTTCTATATGCAATTTCTTGGACTCGGGAACTATAGACGGATACGACGTACCTTATCCACCGTCAGAGCGCAATCGGTTGCAGAGCGGCTGCGGCGCTACTACTGCAGACTAACGGATTGCATTACACTATTTGGGCGTTCTGTCCAGTCTGTGGCACCTAACCCTAACCCTAACCCTAACCCTGACCCTAATTAAATTTAAAATATATGTTAAAATTAGAAGTGCCTAGTAAACATATCCTATACCACCCCTTTCAGCCGGCTGCTGGGTGCTCCAGCTCGCGTCACACTCTTCGCAAAGCATGCTGGGATGACACGAATCTGCGTAGCAGGCAGCCATGTTGTGTTATGTGTTTGTGTTTGCATCATTATTTGTATGCTCATAAACTCATAACTAGACATCTTCATAACAGTACGAGTTCCGGAGGTCAATGACCAAGTAATGATAATCATTTAGTAGTTTAGCAAACGACTGGCTTTGCGTTAGAGGCTTTATTCAAGTATTGCATGCAGTGCGCAGTACTGCACGAAGGGTCGCTGTCGTATCAGCCTCAGGTACTACATTATAATATACTTATATAGTACAACTGTACATAGTAGTAACATATATATGTACCCGAGGTAGTTTTAGGTTGTTTAGTATTATGCTTATATTTTTATATAAGTTATGTTTAGGGTTAGGGTCAGGGTACACTAGCTTCTGTAGTACAAGTCTAGTACACTTTCAACTTTGTGACATTGTGTATACATATTATTATTAAATTATTAAATTATATATGTACCTCGGGTACATATATGATATGTAGTAACTGATACGACAACGACCCCTTCATCTGCAGTACTGCCAGGCAGTAGTACTAGTAGGCTGAGTAGCATATCTCTATATAAAATTTGTTTAGGTATAAAACAATTCGCACGAGTTACGCCAAAGATATTGAATAGATATCTCTATTCTATACATTTGGCTACATTCATTGTCTTCGTTACAGTCAGTGCATTGAAATGATGTGATTCTCCGTTTTTTACAATATGTTAATTCAAATTTCTACTATTGTAGGACCACAAGAATTACGATAACAGCTGCTTTGCATCTGCTTGAATCCATTGCTGATGGGAAGGCACAGATTTATGAAACAAACTCGTAGCAGGCCTCGCCACAGTAAAAGTGCTCAACAACTAAACGTGTTTGAACTTCAGATTGAACAGGCTAGAATCCGTGAATCTGTGCTCCAAACTTTCAAGAACCATTTAAAATCACCAGGTGGTGGTCCTGCTATCATCGTATCAGAGTCCAACTCCCTTTCGCTGGAGTCTAACAGAAACACACAAGCAACCCAAATCACTATAGGTGAACATAGTGGTGCTACTTGTATTGATGGTACAGATCTGCAATATGCAAGAAAACGCCCCCAGAAAAAGGAGCAGGCTGCAGTGACCACTAGAAAAAGGAAGATGAAGCATAGATGCAAGGAGCACAGACACAGAAAAACAGCTTCATCAAACCCATGTCATGCCACTACCAGCATAAATAAGTTGCTGCGCCCAGAAGAAACGGCTGATAGATCTGTTTCCGTGTTTGGCCAGAGCAGGCTCACACGTCGACTGGGAATATTTAACAATGGCAAAAAGTCTGAAAAGATTATCAGGCTTTCCACAAATATGGAAAATGAGATGAAAAATGACTTAAAGCATATACTTGATAGTGAAAACGCAGCATTTGACAATGACATACCGGTACCTAAAAATTATAGCAATGTGACTAGCAGTGACTCTAACGATGAGATTAACAATACAGTATCGAGTTTTACTGATGATCTCCCAGTGGAGCTTCCGTTCCAGGATATTGCAACTGACTTGTGCACTTTCTTAAAACCGATGGACATATTCCATGGGCGGAACTTGTTTGCTGAACTCAGAGAAGAACTTAACTCAATTATGAAGCAAAACCTAATGCCCGAGACACCCCGTTGCCCCCCACCCGTTGGGTTTGGTGGAAAGAGCTCAGCAAGCGTCAAGAGAGCCCTATTTTGTGGTGAAAATACTCCCAGCCATGCCGCCACCAGTGGCAGACAAACTCAACAACTGCATAAGAACTCTACCAGTAGCGGATTGTCAAATGCCACGTTTGGAAGTCACGGCATCACATGCAACTTGCGTGTCCACAAAACGGCAGCAAAAAGCCCGCAAGTGCAACATGCTGTGGATCTGCATTATGAACAGGTGTTCACTGCAGCCGGGAAAAGCCGAGATTTACCCCGACCTGTGTCTCATCCGAAGGTAAATTCCCAGGTATGTAGGAGTAGTTTTCAGAGCTTAGAACCTTCGACTTCTACAGCAGTCAGTGAAACAATGGCACGTCAGCACAAACATCCAGGAATCTATCCAGGAATAATCAACACTGATCGCTCATCATGTAAAGCAGTTTATGGGCACAGCATATACGGTGATAATCCAGGTTTTCTTGAAGGTCAAATGATGCAGAAATGTAAGACTTTGACTAAATCTACACGTGAGCAGATCTTAGACAGCAGACATGTATATGTCAAGCAGCCACAGGAATGCATCGCACAATTGCCACGGGGTGTGCCACCTAGCTCTACTTACTACAACGACCCTGGAATGAATTGTTCTAACAAACTTCCTCCTCCTGGTAACCATCTTCAGAACGTAGAAGCGTTCCCAGGCTGGCCCCTACATCCATCTGAGGTCTACCCACCAGTTTATACATCCACTGGAAAAGAGCACTCTGGGATGAATCCCTGCAGAGATGGAAAAGCACCAAACTACCATAGCCATGGAAAGATGGTATTTCTATCACGCGACAATATCGGCGACAACTTCCCCCCAACAGATTCCTATCCTGAATTTAAGTACATGCCCATCCCTAACAGCCCGAGAGGGGGAAACCCTGCAGTCTATCCCACCCTTAACGATGGCTATCATCGCAAGCATGCAGGTGAGCATCCTTCCACCTACAACACCCACAGAGATATTCTCGACAGCATTGCTCTCCCCACACGGTTTAATCCCGTGTTTGATTGTCATCGGCACTGCGACGGCTCTAGAAGGTATGGCAAATGTTCCTGCAGCATGGATCAGACCAAGATGGTGACTGCATCACCTGATTCAAATGGGTCGCCTGCTTGGAAGTTAGTGAACATTAGAAGTCCTAGCATTAGTAAGCCGCCCCGACACACTCCTTCTCCTCCTCAGCTGTGTGCCAGAAGAATGTACTGAACCTATGTGTGCCTTTCAAGCAGCATGTATATTGTAGTATGTATGTATATATGTAAGGACATAGTATATACTTGTTATTGGAATCGTCGCCTCAATGGATCTCAACCACGTAGTTGGACTGTAAAAGTTATGATTGCATATTTGTTTTGTTTTTATTTATCTTTATTATCTAAACAAGACTTGCGTTATATATTACAGCAAGTTATTTGCATATGAATGAATTTAGGTTGTCAGGCCCTTTATAAATAGGAATGTTTGTAAAGTGCAGAATTAATGACTAGTTATTGATGTTTCACAAAGCAACTAGAGGACAAGATTATTTTTTTTGACAATGTTTCAATGCAAAACCAGTTAAATTATATAATGGATCCTGCCAACAATGTTTAAAATGCATTTTACATGTTCTTTGTCTCAATGGTTGGGTTCTGTGATTGGCAGTATAGTGGGCTTTACTGACTTTTGTAATTACTCTACTGCCTATTTGTCTGTACATGTTTGTGTTCGTTGAAAGGCTGTCATAAAGAAGTGAGCTATTATTAGGCCGAACCAGTTGACGCATCCTGAGCTGTTAAAATTTTACGTACTAATTGCTTTTGAATTCACTGAGCAGTGAAACTATTAAATTACTTAACGTTTATTTTGTAAAATGTATCTGAATATATAAAGGTAGAATCAGTTACCAACAGTTGTCAGGCCTAACAAAATGGCAATTACTTATGCAGTCCTTGGCGAATGTGTGAGCAGTGTAGCTGGTGGAGACATGGAAGATATATATGAAGAATTTTTAAAAACAAACATAATAAATTTTGTCACCACAATTTAATGTACTATACTGTCCTCGTGTACAAATACTAGACAAATATGTGTAAGCAGATTCAAATCCAACAAGTAATAATAATAAATGATAAATTAATCATTAATGATAATAAATTACATAATTTTTCCTTAACTAAAGATAAATATGAAAATTCCCCATGTCAATGTATAATAGATATTAGAAAAATGGCACAAAACTACACTATTACAACAAAATTCAGACTGTTAAAAAAGCGCAAGAGCAACTGAAAACTTAGTACCGCCACCAGACCTATTTCATGATGTCTGTTGCCTTGGCAACTCGGCGGCATACAACACCCTACACCAGGTGGCGCCAATGTTGTGATCATACAGCCGAGGGGATACTAAGCAATACCCGTTTGATGCTGGTGTATGAAACGAATATGTTAGTTATCGCTGTCAGGGTAACTTGGGTGAGATGTGTCTGCACTAGGTGGTAGTATAATACTCCTCAACCGCAAAGTTTGGCTAGCCCCGGAAAGCACTACATCTGCTAAGAGCTGAAGGTTGCGACTTGTGAACGTTTAGTTGGAGAAAAGTGCATGCTTTCTCTCCTGGCACAAAATAGTCATGAATCTACGGAAAATGGTTCCGGTTGATTTGTTAAATGCGCAAGGCACCTTCATCGGAAGATGTGTGTGTAGCGGGTGAAGCAATCTGTGTGTGAAGTCGAATGATAAATTGGCCCGGCTTAGATCCGAACACGTCGAGTTAAGCTGCCTTCTGAAGAGCCACGATGGTTCGGTAGCATAGAGATGCACCTGGTGGTTTGCCAGCACACTTCCTGAGCAGGAGGTGAGTTGAGATTGGAATACCCTGCACGGCGGCCCTTCTGCTGCACGCTGTAAGCAAGCTGTTGAGACTGGTGGCCGTGCAGGGTACATGTGGCACGATGGAGCAAGCCACAGTACGTCTTCGCTCAATCGAAGAGAGATGCGCCTTAGTGCTTGGCTGCCCAGTCTGGCTTGGCCTTCTGCAGGGGCAAAAACAGAACACAATATGACATATACGTTTTTTATTACAGTTACACAATGTGTTTGTCACATAAGGTGTATACGTACCCCCATGCTTGTCATGTGCCAGTCATATATAATATTAAATTAAAGTTTATTATATACTGCCTGTGTCCCACAACTGGTATCTTGCAGTTTCAATTACGTCAGAAAAGCAGGTTCTACCTACTGGTAGTTATATGGTGTAGCATAGGTGTACTTACGTCTGGGTCTTCTTCAGCCTCCAGTGCATATTTGTCCTTGCCAGTAGACTTGAGGCCCTCGCGGAAGTTGGATGCTCCCTTCTTCTGCAGCTGCTTCATCTTGGCGAACCTACAGTTTGTAATACTTCAATGAGTGACTGATACCACATAACGATTATGTAGGACTACGATCTCAGAAAGAAACATTTCACAATGCTGCCTAACCTAAAACAGGAATTCTTGAGATAGATTTAGATCAGTTACAACTAGGGATTACGTATGGTAAAAACATGCATACTTAAAATGTTAACAGAATGGTAAATCGTCACAAACTTGTATCTATTTTTCTATTTTTCACACATGAGTATGTAAGATGTAGTAGTGTTACTTACTTGTTGTCGTACTTGGAAATCTTCTTGAGAGGGGGCTTGATGCTAAGGGGAAAATATTGTTTATCATCAGACTATGTTAAAATACACCTCTATGAAGCCTTTTCAAAGTATGTAATAATAAGTGAACTTAAAACATATACCATCTTTAGCTAACTCGAATGCAAATTTAGTTAATTCAGCAACTGTGATTACATATTTCAGTCAATGTTGCACTACATAAATTATAGTCATTAAAATAAAATGTATAAAAAAACACCACATTTAAACTATACTTCCACAAGTTAAAGTTCCACGTTTAATATTTATCATATAATGCTGTACTCCTCTATGAGATTTCAGTTCCACCTTAAATTTTATTAAATTTAAATTTAATATTAAATTTTACCTAATATTATTAGTGTATTATAGAGCATGCTACGGTTGTCAGTACTTACAACTTGCCCCTAAGGTCGTTGACAGCATACTGCATGTCCATGATGTGTGCGTCGTTGTCATGGATGTTGTTCATCAGGTCAAACCTGTCACCCTCCACCTTCGCGATCTGAGCCAACAGCTTATTGCATAGAGCCTCCAGCTGGCCTGCAACAGTAGACACGGACATCGTTAGCAGTGAAAAAATACACGGGGGCTCGGGGTGATTTAGCCCCCGAAATGCCAAAAAGAGCCCCCGTAAATTTGCATAGAGTTCAATGCAAACCAAATTTTAGAGTGCTATTTTCATCCACGCGAGCTTGAAAAGTATAGCCTCCGAAAAATAAATAATCTTTTTTTCCCTGATCGTTAGCATGGATCGGCAGTAGGGTTAGGATTCGGTTGTGCGTTATAGTTGCATGCATTATATACTTATTGCATAGAGCCAGCGAAAAAAGCTGCTTATCTTATTGGGATCTGATTCACTGGTCGTGTCATTTGACGTTGCTAGTACAGTAGATCGGTTTCAACACAACGGTGGAGTCACGACCAGAGAGCAGTGCTGCGGTACGCTGGACGTGTGTGTCCTACTAACCTGCGTTCAGGGCTTCCATGTTAGGAAGGGGCTGCACTCTCTCGGCCAGAGCTCTCTTCTTCTGTTCTTCTTTCCTCTGGATTTCTGCCAACATGTCCTCACGGATCTTCTTCATCAAGAAAGCCTTCAGCTTCTTCTTGCGGGCGCCAGTCAGGAAACCATTCTTCTTCTTCTGGCTGCTCTCCTCCAACCTCTTCCTCACCTCAGCCTTCTTGCGTTCCCTCTCCTCGATCCTCCTGCGGGCCTCCTGTAGCAAGAAATCAACATGAATGCTGTTCACTTGTTGGTCGTTGTGCATCGTAGCGCAACATTACAACGTTGTTACTAGTAATTATTACGAGTTGCATGTAACTTGCTGGTATAACTAATATATGGTCATAAATTCCATATACATATGAATTGATGGTGTGAAATATTTTACGTATTTAAGATGAGTGATAATTAAGGCCAGTTACTAGTAAAACTACTAGTGGGTCTAGTGTAACATTGAGATTGACGCTAAATAGCCTGGACAGTAGAAAATGGATAAATGACTAACAATGAAATAGACGATGGATGTATTTGTGAATGGAAAACGAAGATTTATTCTACGCATAAGGAAATACAATCATAGAGGGAAGAAAGGCTAGATACTCACATCTTCCTTGGCATGTTCTCTATCAAGAACAGCCTGCTTCTTTCGTTCTTCTTCCTCCTTCTTTCTCTTAGCCTCCTCAGCCTTGCGAGCGGCTTCAGCTTGTCTCTTGGCCTCTTCAGGGTTTACCTTCTCTTCCTCTTCTTCTTCTTCCTCTTCTTCCTATTGTAGCGACGGGGCATAGTTGAAAACACAGCAGTACCATGCGTAATTTTGATGCAGGATTTCCTATGTCTTTTTATTATAATACAATTTTCCAATTCTTTACAGGTAACATTAGAAAAAGATGTAATTTAATAAATATCAGGCTTTTCAAAATTGTTTGTATATTACTGAACAAGATCATTGTTTCACAACAATATGATTAATCTGATATATCTTATATCACTCATGATTTGAGAGATAACAACCATTAATTACACGACAATCAATACATGAATATTTTCCAAGTTTACGGTTTCAAATTCAGTAATTTTACAAGTACATGTGTAACGGATTCTACTGTCGTGAAGAAACGTAAGTAGTTGTGTGCTACCGCAAACGGTCGCTAAGCAGATGATAAATGCGTGACTAAAAGGTTTGCAGAAGAAGAAAGCCACGTACCTCCTCGGATTCCTCTTCAGAGCTATAAAGCGTTCATAAAGAATAAAACGAAAGAAAGAAAGAAATCACAATTAGCCATTACTCTTAGCTGCACAGCATACTAATGTCTACTTGAAGATACTTGAGAATCTACTTCACTAAAGTGATGAAGCAAGCATGCTCCGATTTCAGGCTAAGGTCTGGTGGAATCCTTGCAACTGTCACGATAAAAGTGGTCTTGGATCAAGCAAGACAAAACTGAATTCCTTCCAGACCTTAGCTTGAAACCGATGGCAGATGTGCGAAAACGTGGGGGTAAATGAAGACCACACCGAAAGAAATAAGAGGTTAAAATGCCATGCATGAAGTTTGGTGTCTTTGACCAAGCCAAGGAATCCTGAAAGAGAAAAGGTCATGCAGAGAAAGCGCTAGAAAGACAGAAGGACATGGATGATGGTTTTGCCATCAGGTGTACCTCAGTTTCTTCTTCGGATTCCTCCCCAGATCTGTTATAAAATGCAGGAAGAAAGCACATGGCCAACTGTGAGATGCATATATACGGTACACCATACACGTAATGGCTTGATGCACACAGAGACAAGTGTACACCTTTATCTTGCCACATTAAACAGTATTATGCACATCAAACACATCCCCCTTAGGCCAAAACAAAATATGGGTGTGGTTACGGTTTCCTGACCGACCCTATTTATTCCCAGCTACCCTAAACATTTTATTGTCAATTTTCTTTAGTCAAAAAATAAAATTAAAATTAAAAAAATGAATTGGACAGTTCCTGCTTCAAAAGGCACAACGCACATCCTTCGGACATGGTTCGTAAATAAAATATTTCAAGAAAATAAAATGTTTTCCCTACCTACCTACCCTATTTTTCCCCGGCATGTAACGGTAACCACACATATATGAGCCTTGATGATTGATGATGATGATGAGCCAATGGTTTACAGAAATTACTGAGTGCTGCAGCGACTGCAATTTCCACTTTGTACATGGTTGAATATTTACCAGTAACTTATACTATTAAACCACGGATTATCGATGCAGCACTAAGTGGTAATCAACAATGCCACATGCACCTGGGATAGAGCAACATGGAACTGAATGTGACAAATTAGCTGGAGCTTACACTGACAGACAGATGGCTGTGTTACTCACAACGACACGACGTATCAACACAACCGCTGATTAAACATCGACTGCACAGCATGCCTGCACAATAACTGATCGATTCCCTCGCATACGTTAACTAGTGATTCAATAATAACGATCAAAATTTTAAACCACTCGTTTAAATCTTAAGTAAATATTAAATCATCGTTTACAAATAATTCTACATATATTTGAGACGCCTGCGCGGGCCACCAAAAAGATTGGTGTTTTAAGTAATAATAAGACTGTTCCCAGTTTACAAAACTCAGCCGCAGTGGCAGAAAAGACCGATGTTGTTAACTGGTAGCTGCTGCTATTGTGCCTCGGCCAACTGCTGTATCACTGAATACTCACCGCTCTTCGTCGTCAGACATGGCTGGTTATTTTCTGCAACGAGAAATAGAAAAAAAAGTCAGCGCATGTGTGTCAACAGTAGTACACCATGCAGTAGCGCTGCGCCAGTTTGAGCTCACTCGCTATCACCGCTACTGTATTATCAGGAATGCACGAATAAAGAAATAAATCTCTATTCGCGCACTCCGGGTATAATTACCTTACACTATGGTGCCAACCAGTCGCTTACCCTTATCAGGGCTTCCTGATTTACTCGGGAATATTCTGAAGCTGCAACTTGCAAGCTAAGCAAAGCAGCGCACACCCACAGCTATGACGCTTATGTGTAGGATTCAGCCCTCATCGGCTAAGCTTAGAGGGGCATTGGTGTAGTGTGGTGGGCGGCAGCACTGGTTTAGCTTGGCTATGTAACTGCCACGTCGCGATGAGAAAACATTGGCGCACAAGCTCTGTGAAAACTGCTGTACGTTCCTCATTCCTGCATGTTTTCGGTCCTATATTTAGCCTTCCATTCCTGCGGACGGTAAAGGGGGTGGAGGGCGAGGGAGCCTGCTGCTTCCCAACCAGATGGCTTCTACAATAATAGCCATGCACCAAACCTTAGTGCATGAGCGATGATACTTCGCTGGCGCAGTGACAGCAAGCATGCTAGAACGCGGGGATGCTGAGAATTAAGGTACTACGTGTATCTTAGCGTTGACAATATCCTAACACGTTTCAGTAGAGGTAGTCTATCGAGAATAAACTCACAAGCTTCAAAGGGTTAAGCAGATGTTCCGTTAGCATAAATAAGAGCAGGATATGCCTGTACATTCTCTACAGAAGCCTGCGTAAGAAACACATTCATCATCGCGTTCCTTCACGAGTGTTAGTTCCGGTCATATTTCTAGTGTTATCCCGTCTTACCATATATCACACCAAGAGTAGATAATAACACATCATAATGTGTTATTATCTACTCTTGATCACACTCAGAAGCGCCATGTTATAACTTATACTATACGTAGCAATTCTCTCGTGTATTATAAACATAATTATTTTATAAATATAGAACTAGACATGTGAGTAGCAGAAACTGGCAGTCTTCCTGTCACAATCTTACTTCTGTTACTTCTGCCTGCAACATAGAATGCTGAAGGAAGCAGGTGCAGACGAGTTTTTTGGCACTGCACGATGGCTGATGGTATGCGTATGGAATTGCGCAACTTTTTAGTGGATCACTGATCTTTCTGATTTAGCACGTGATCACCTATCTGCTACTGCTGTTGCTGTTGCAGAGGCCGCCTATGCTTTCTTTGCCAACGTGAGGAGAAAAGTGTTCACTTAATTGTATTACGTCCCCTCCCTCCCCATCGTACCCTATGCTATACCACCAATTTAGAGCAACTCAATTAGAGGTATTTCTTCGATCAGGCATCGGTGGTGATGTATGGATGCTTATTCAGCAACTCGGCCGCGCCTGTACACACTGCGCAGCGAGGCTAGGCGACTATACATAGACCCCGTACCAGATCCATTACCTACATGAGTAACAAGTCGGCCCGATCCCCAAAAATAGCTGCTAGCAGCTTGGCACACTGCTTCTTCGCAGCTACATCTCCCAGCGAGCTACAAATGCGACGGCCCCCGCGTGCATATTTGCGCAAGATGTGGTGCGAGCGGAGGAAACTGAAGACTGATTATTGTGTGATCGGGTCTTATGGATCAGACGGTTCTTTATATAAGTTAATACTGAGTTTACGCTCTAATGAGTTTATGAGTACTGCCCCAATCTATATTTGCACATAACCACGCTTTATCGTGTTTTTTCGCGACGACTAACTCCCCTTTCCCTCACTGTATGTATAGCTAGCTATCATGTTGTACACCAACGACATTGTAGTGGACGTTTTTAGTGTAGGCTTCCCATTACTGTTTGCACGGAAGTACTGAGGCTTTACTCTGGCTCTTGGGCGAGCAGATCACCACTGTTTTATATCTATTAGCATGTTTATATCTCGAGATTTTAACTATGCCACAGTTCCCCCAAAAACTGTTCTAGTAGTTAGACAAATTCAAAATACAGCGTTATTGCAGTTATAAAGCAGCTCACACACGGCAGCTGTAATGCAAGCACGTATAAGACCGATATAAGTTCATACTATTACACCATATAACGGGTTTTATGACTGAAGCTATTCGGCACAGAAATGCAGTTTCTTTTCAAAACTCATGTCGATCCTGAGTGTATATATACCAGGAGCGTATAATGACAAATATATTTTTCATTATACGCTCCTGATTACACGCAGCTAAGCTGTTGTCACCCGATCATCCAATCAGGAGTAATTCAACGCAGCTTGCATAAGGTAGAAGTCTGCATACCATCCCGATGAGATCATGGTGCTTCCAGTAAACGCTAGGCAAATGCATCATGCCATGAAGAACCCATTAGAATAGCCGCTTCGATTACCGGAAGTATGTTCCCAAGAAATGAACGCTCACACAATGCTGAATTGGAGGATATAGAGGTTTGAGGACTGAAAATTTGTGTGAGCACTGGATGCCGTGCAAAACTCTGTGTCTGTTTAAATTCCGATAGGCGAAATGTGATTCTAGCAATAAATGTACATTTTAGATGATGCTTGATGAAAGTTATTATTAGTACGATATAGTATCCATACCTTACTGGCATTTAAATAGAAATGCAGTTTGCACCTTCAAATACAATAGAAGTTTTGCATTCCAAAGTCATCAGAATATACGATGCTATACAATTCGAAGATTCAAAAGAGGTTCGTATATAAATAGCCGAATCAAGAAAACAAGGCATTGAAGAATTGCAAGACGCTGTTGGGCAACGTATAATCTAACGAGAAGACGCATTGCGTCGCAAAATCTAAGGAGTCTGCTATGCATTGCCAAAGTGCGATTGTTGCTCTCTAGGCATCGATGAAATTCAATGAGATTGCTCTCTATGCCAAGCAGAATCCAAAGAGACTACTGCACACTGAAGCCATTCGCAGCATAACAGCTCAGCGTCTGCTGCGCATATCCACCAACAAGCATCACGCCTCATTCTCTACCGAGCAGAACGCTTTGGCCGAACCGCAGAATACTGTTGCTGTTGAAAGCCGGCATCAAAACTAACCGGTTGTCAAAAATCAAAGAGTTAAGCAAAGACGATCCTGTTCGAATAGCTGGCCCAGTACTGCACCTACTTACATTTGCCGTTGCAAGCTGGAGCTGAGGAGGACGGATCCGGTACAGCTGAGGTCTACCGCTACACAAGATGGGACTCCCGAGGTGAGGCAGCACCTCTGCCTCTGACTCCAGTAACACAATCACGTGTGCGCGTGCTATATTTGGGACGCCGCTGGCCCTTACGTCAACAGCCATATTCAGCAGCCGCCAGGCGCCGTAACGTGGGCGGAAGGCCGGGCCTGGGTTTCACGTTTCAGCGAGCACGATCGCTGCGGAGGCCCGCGAACTGCAGCTGCCAAGCAGTCGCTTAGCAACGGGATAATTATGGTGCTGCGGGGTGCACGCAGCTTCGAGCGCGGGCCAGACTATCCTAAATTAGCCCGTAAACATCTCCACGCCCGTATGCAGGAAAATGAGTGAAGACGGGAGAAAAAGTTTTGCTCCATTTAGTGAGAAGCAAATAACTGTCATAGAAATCCTTACTGCACAGATCTAGAATTATGCAGCATTAAGCCTGTGAGATGAACAGAGTGAAAGTGGCGAGCATGATGAAGAGATAGGAATGTAAAACGCATGCCGAATCGAACTGACTTGGAAGCTAATTAATTGCAGTATTAAATATCTTAACAAATAACCCTCTTGAAAATGACTAAACGTAATTAGCTGATCCCAGGTTCAATCACTTTCACTTCAAGTGGAATTCTCTGGACAATCTTATTGTGAACGAATGTAATTTCGCCGTGTGTACAATTTAAAATGTGGCGATGTTGTAATTTTTACGCGACAGCAAGCAAAATCGAAAACGTCCAGAAAGCAAAATCGATTATGTCCTCGTGCAACTGTTTGTCTAGATATATAACTCCTGCACTTATTCGAAGGGTTGTCGGTGGCGGTGTGCACGCCAGAGATTGCTGCAGTGGCTATTTACGCCTATGGTCACTTGATATATCTGCCCTTGCTGAATAGAAGCCAGCTAGCAGAAAGGAAGAAGCGTGAATGCTGCAAACATCTGCTCAAGATAAATAAAAGACAGACTTGACAAATGGATTCACAAATTTACCATCCTTTGCTGAAAGGAAGCAGGACTCGATGGTAACTATGGTGATGAACGTGGATAATGCATGTGAACAACACTTATTATGCTGTAAACCTGCTAACCACACAACAACGAGGAAAATGGTTACTGAAGTGTATTCCTTTGGTATTTACTTGTTCCCTCCCCCCTCTTCACTTCTCTCTCTCTCTCTCTCTCTCTCTCTCTCTCTCTCTTCTTCATACCCCCCACTCTCCTTTACACTCTCTGACCCCCTTTCCTCTCTCTCTCACTCAGTCAATCACTCACTCACTCACTCACTCACTCACTCACTTACTCACTCACTCACCCACTCGCTCACTCAGTTAGTCAGTCACTCACTCAGTCAGTCACTCACTCACTCACTCACTCACATAGCAGCCAGATTACTGTGGAATGCCCAAGGAAATTATGTGATTGCATTTATGACTAGGGCTGGAACTATGTCACCTTTGCCACACTATGGAGAGCGAGGGAATGTGCAAAAATATTAAGCTATGTACGATTGCCTCCAGTTCTGGTAGCATGAGTAATATAATGATAATAATAATATAATAATTAATAATAGCGTGAGTTCCATGTCACGTTCGCATGGACAGAACTGTAGAGACGATGGATAAATCTTAGCACAGGCACAGCTCACTCACTGTGCGAGCCTGCACATCCGGGAGTGCAGAGTCGACCCCCACACCAACCCCCACATTCAGCATCCCATATGCTGCACATGTATGCAGCTTCCAACTGCTGTACAAAATTTAGGTGATCTGTTTTTGTTTGGTAATGTAATACCGATATACAGCAGCATCCAGCAGCGGGAGAATTTGGGTTCCATGCCTTCATGCTACCATGCAGCAACTGCTATTTCACACCCTTGCAAGGACGGAACTTTGGGCCACTTCATTTGCAAGGGAGAGCTCCATCACGCTAAGTCACCCATTGTAAATGATAACATTATATACTATAATGGTGCTGCCCCTTTTTTTAGACTGATGCACAATATCACCATTAACCAAAACCACTGCAAAAGGGTTTTTACATTAAAATTTTGAACCATCAATGTCTACCACATATGCTGACTCTAGGAACCAAGCTTCACTTTAAAAATTCAAAACCTATTGGCAAAACTTCACTAACAACATACTTTTGCTTGTTTTTATTTTAAATTTTTTTAACATTTATTAAATTAAATCTACATAAATTTAATTTCATAAATGTTAAAGTTTTTTTAAATATATTGCACATATATGCAAGAATATAAAACCTCCAAACTCATTTATAAGTTTCTAGATTATCTTCGACTAGCAATAAAATGGCCGATTGACACCAATACCATTTATCAACTCAAGATTGACAACTCTACCAAATAATGACAAACTATTATAGCATTTAGTTAATGTTAGTGTAGTGAATTAATTAGAAACCTCCGAAATGTTTGAATTAAGCTATCCATCTTGCTATAAACAAAGTATCATCAACTTTCTGTTAACTAAATTGCAGATAATTTTAGATACATGTTTAAATAGCTGTAAACAGACTAAACTCCAGTCAGTCAATCTTAAGTCCAGTCAACAGTGCAGCATTAAGCCTATGGTGAAACGGCAGTAGAAAAATCACCTAGGGTGAAGTTAGCAAAGATTGCAGCTATGAAAAAATTCAACTCCAAATTGACGCGTGGCTAAAATTAACAAATGCACTGCATAATTTGTTTCCATTTTTGTGCAGGCTCCAACATATCTCCACGAGTCCTGTGCCGCAAAGCTCACTAACATAGCCAGTAAAATCCTCCCGGCAGAAAAACGAAGCGAGGATCCTTTTCACAGGTCTAAATATAGATAGGGGGCCAGGCTGCTTGGCCACTTATAACAATATATCACTCTGCCTAGCAGCAGCTTCCTCATAGACAAAAGTTGAGAGTATTCTGGGATGGATGCCTACTGTATGATGCGATTTCTACAAATGAGTAGTGAATTACTGTTAACACAAATATTACGCTTTCTAGAATGCATGCTATTTTAGTAGTCCAACACTATTCAATTCCTCACAGATGGGAAGTAGTTTGCAGTACTAACGGCTACAGTCTGATGGTCTACAGTCATTTCATATTCAATAAACGAGTAACTTTACCAACCACAGTTTCAAACAGTTCTCATTTAAAATTTACAGTTCATACCCATATTCAGCATTTATATGAACGTTGCATGACAGGGCATGCATTTGCACTGCAGTTTCAATATATGTCAGAATTTCATAGAAAATTATAAACTACCAAAATTGCTCTAGCAACAATGCCAGATTACAAAATTCAATAAGCTAGTATATGCATGCCTAACCATGTAACAAAGGTGACACACTTGTAGGAAAACTGTTCGAAAATGTCTTGTGTAAATCTAGAGAGGCCATGCAGCTCTAGAGACAGAGCCATGCACAGTGAATAATGGGAGGGAAATTCTATCCATGTGCTCATTGGGATCATGACCCGTGTTTAAACACTAATATATATATACATTGGAAATTCTATATCTCATGAGGTCACAATTAGCTCAAAGAAACGACCAAGCAATGCACCACGTATAGCAGCAGCTCAGATCCACAGCCACCACAAGCAGAGGGAGAGACTGATTAGTTAGACAACTGCTATTTCACTGATTTACTCACATCATGAAGTTTGTTTGAGTTGTAGAGACAAATAAATTAGTGCTTTAATGCCAGGCACGATGGGGATATTGGTTACAATTCGTGTGTGTGTGTGTGTGTGTGTGTGTGTGTGCGTATATATATATCCAGGATCTCACGCACCAGATTTCAAAGGAAACCCTGCGCAAAAAGATACCATGTCACCAAGAAGAAACATGTGCAACATAATGATATGCACATGTTAGTGCAGTTGTTTATCCAGAGTGTAACATTAAGGCATTCACAAGGGCAGACAACCAGAAACACCATCTCTGTAGATCAATGCATCTATTTATAGTACATGAAAAAAAAGCAGACATAATACCTCAGTTGAGCAGTTTCTCATACACATACAGTTGCAGTCCCAATGGTTAAGAAATGCTAGATTCCAATAGCACTTATTAGTTATTATTGTCGGTGAAACGGGTGTGGCGCACTGGTCCCTGAAGGAACCCCTACCAAAGTTAGCTACTTGGCATGATGACAGTGTCGTTTAGAACAGCTAGGATTCCACGTAACTTCCGTTCAAATACTCATTTACAACACAATCTTACAGCGCGCACACCATGTGCATTAACTAACAGAAGAAAGAGCCTTTCTTTCCGTGAGTTTGTGCATGTGTACATCACTGTATGTACTCATGAACACTCCCTCTATTAGTCGTGTATGCATTCGCCATTGCATACGGATAGAGTTAGTAATCTGACACGATGTACGATATACTCATATATAGAGGCCTAGCTCTCGTACTATAGCCCGCGTTCATTAGTTCATTATCTGCCGCGGGCTATAGTACTAGAGCTAATCAAGCTAATACTAATAGGGGCCTAGCATGCAGTTGTATCATCGTAGAATAGAAAATTAGTATTACTATTAGTAGCAATCCGCGATCCCAGATAAAACTTCACAAAGCAACGGAAAATGCCTAAGAGTCAGTGATCAACGCCAGCTAACCCTTCAGCGTGAAACGGAGCAGTAAGTTGATACTCACCCAGAAGGAGCTTAGAAGAATCGAGTGCTGCACCAAGGCTTGAGAAGTCAGCAACTGCCGATTCAGCCCGCAAGCAGCCTTCTAGTTGTGCTGATGCAGCTGCTGCTCCCTCGCGGCCGACGGCGTAAACAGGAGAAAAACAGAAGCCACCTAACGGTAAATTGGCCACGTATCATGTTCGCAGACGCTTGCCCGGGAAGTTGTTTGAGTACCATGGCGACTAGAAGACCTCGACTCCGCGCATCTACAGGCGCCCTCTAGTTGAAGCATCGGTTATTTCTCTGTGTGATGTTATTCTGGAAAACGTAGTGCCTACAAAACAAAACGCATCGCGTATATGACGGCTTCAGAGAGATGGCGCCACCATCTAGGATATGGAAGCATAGCGACACATCACAGGGATGCAGAATTGGCCGCATAAAGCGTTATCTTCACACATAGTGCCAACACAGTGCAAAACTGAAACAATTATGTCAACTCCCGCTCTTATCGGTCACCGTTACGAGCGTCCTCTGTCACTAACGCTGAGAGGGTCTATGTCCTCCAGGGTACTGCCGGAACGTACCCTGGGTACGGTCCGGTATACCGGAACGTACCCTGGTACTATCTAATATGCCGGACCGTGCCCGTCCATATGGGACTGTCTTCCGTATAAATTTGTTTGATCAATTTTCAGTTTATGCTGACTTTTCCACATACCTGTACAAAAGGTTGCCATCAGCTGGCGACATCTGGTACCTCGAAGACATCTTAATTGATTCCGCGAATGCGAAATTCACTGTTTAAACTGATCGAATTCGATTCCATTTTTAAAAATCCGCTTACTTTTGTAGATTCCATACACGACTCTGCATACCATGTGCTGGTGGCAGTTGAGTAACGCCGATATTATAAGACCCTACAAAAATAATTGAGCGATACAATTCTTGGGGTGCCTATATATTCTAAAACTATATATATATATATATATATATATATGCTTTGCCGTAACTTTTTACCTGTTATCTTTTCTTGATGTAATTGTACATGTGCCCGTGCGTCCATGTGTCCGTGTGTGCGTGTGTAGGGCCTACGTGCGTGCGTCCGTGTATGCGTGTGTGCATGCGTCCGTGTATTCATGCGCGCGCGCGCGCGTGTGTGTGTGTGTGTGTGTGTGTGTGTGTGTGTGTGTGTGTGTGTGTGCGTGCGTGTGCGTGCGTGCGTGCGTGCGTGCGTGCGTGCGCGCACTGGTGCATGTTTGTTACGTGCAATCTTATTTTTCGATAATTACGAAAAATTATTAGTACGCTACGCCGTACAACTGCACATCGTATTTTACAGTAGCGATTTAGTTCGAGTATTGTTTGTTATCAAGTTTTGTTATGTATCACATCTTGATCACATACATATACATACAGTATGTATATGAAACCACGAAATAGTGTACAACGAAATCACTGTTACAGTGTCTGTAACGTCAAATGTAGAACTGTAATTATTGTTTATTGAGCTAATGAATGCAGCGTTGCTAGTAGCATCCATTTATGAAGAATGGTGCTTGTGAGTATATGGAAAGATGTGCTGCTGACCAAGCGAAAGCAAGTAACATGCGGCGTGCATCGTCAAGATTACGCAGCGCTACAAGATTGTACGGAACACACACATACACACACGCACGCACGAGCGCGCACGCATACACGCACACACACAAACACAAACGCACACACACACGCACACGCACACGCACGCGCGCGCGCACACGCACACGCACACGCACACGCACGCGCGCGCGCACACGTGCGTAACGTGATATAAATCTTTGATTAGTTTCCTTCTCTAGGGTCTGACTTCTGCACGATAACGTCTCGTCTATACTTGCCGCCATATGCAGATGGAAGCACCAGAGATGTTAATAGATGCGCATGCATGATGACATTCCTACATTTCCGTACGCATCACTAATACGAGAGTTATTGACACGATGATATGTCGATATGGCTTCTGGATGTATTTATAGCTCTGCATCGACGTTACCTTGACATTAGATAGTCACATGCATACACTTATCAAGATAGTTTGAAACATGCGGGCCAGGCTTATAAGGTATTACACTTACACTCCTATACAATCGGTGCTGTGTGTGGTGAAATAATTTAGATAGGCATACTCGACTGGTGTGAACAGACGTGTCATTTTCATCTCTCAAAGGAAATGCGCGGCACGCAATTTAAAGTTTTGGTCGCAAATTATACTTCTTGCGATATTCGTTAGAGTGGTCGGCTATGTCTATGTGCATGTGCGGTGGCCTGAAAATGTGAAAAAGTGATGTCCAGTGAAAACATGTTATAAATTGTTTGTTTTATTGTGTTAACGTAATTTTTTGCCAAAAAATAAGTAGAAGAATTCTCGATTTTACAATATATATCTTGTGCTTTGTAAGAGAAATTTAGCAGGTTATCTTGTAATTTCTCTTTTTAATATGACTCCCGCTGATTCAGCTCAGTGTGGTGGCCCACGTAAAATGACTACAAGTTGTGATACCATAAAGTAGTTCTACGCAAGCAATCCTGTTACGTAATTACGCGAGCCATCTTGCCATTGATTTCGATCGTATGTCTGTTAGCTATTAGTGCGGTATTTGTTTCAGGAAACACCAACTTCGTTCTATTTGCCACGTATTATTCAGTGCCTAAAAACCATAATATTTTATTGTATTGGTACATATGTTGAACATGCAGAGGCACTTTATTTTCGAGTTTTACGTAACCAATGTGAAAGCAGATCACATATAAACAGTTTCTAGCTCTCGCCGATGTTTCTACAAATCAGGCAAGGCTCATAAAAACAACGCTTGGTTTAGTGCTCAACACTGCGTGCAGGTGTAAAGCCATGTGTAGGGATGAGAAATAGAATCGACTGCGTCTTACATAATAACTGCGTTCTGGCACGCGATGCAAGTTCATTGCGTATAATAACGATACAGTATGACACTCGGTGTTCCGTAATCGTATGCTCTACAACACGGCTCCCTGTCGACGGGCACCTAATTTATTACAACATTGTACCAGCTTCTCTAGGTAGAAGTTTAATTGGTTTAAATGATACAGCCGCTCGTACAGATACGACGGGTGGAGTGGCGTTGCAATAATCAGAGATATTTAGCTCAGTTCCTGACATATACGTTACGGTTGTGATTCTCAATTTAACGAACGTTGTGCTAGTTTTCACACAGCAACGAATTCAAGAGACAGATCATATGCGACACTCTGCCTACTTCTTTTGCGATAAAAGAAGCACCGAAGCGTCGACAAAATGGCCCCGTTATATATCCTAACCGCGCAACGTGAAATCACAAAATCGAGATCGCGGGATAAACAGCTGAGGTTGCAGTCGCTCTCCGTGTACTGAATACATATATGCCGCATACATATGGTCATGGTATCACATCATCCCGTGTGCTGATTCCGCTAGAGCCTGTATATACGTGACTCCGATGAGGGCGCATATAGACGAAGCCATTGCCATCTTTAATTCCCCCAGTCGCCCTATACACGTATGAGAGTTTCTCTAACGCTCTTCTATATTGTATTATTTGTTATTATATTGTGTATTATTCCGCATTCCCGTCTATTATGATTGCATCACGCGCTGTTTTTGCCGCGATGTGGAATATTGCTAGTGATAATACTACTATAAGCTGAATATGGCTTTTAAGGGGCATCCCCGCTCCCGGGCGCGAAATTTTTTTCCCCACTTGAGTTCCGGACCCACCATAGATAGTGTTTTGTAATAAATGGTTCTTATATATATGGTTCGATTATAGTTAGTGTTAGGGTTCGGGTACGTGTTAGCGTTAGGGTTAGGGTTAGGGTTAGGGTTAGGGTTAGGGATAGGTGGTATTCATTTTACATTGTTGCTTCGAGGAAGTCGAGTGAATGGAGTGCGCTGACTGGCTGTGGTCCGGAACTCAAGTGGGGAAAAAAAATTTGCCTCCCGGGCGATGAAGAATGAGAAGCTGGGAAGCTGTGAGTATATAGAGCAACAGACGGAAGCCGCAGCATCGTCACAGGAGCGGAAAAACGAGTTTGCTAACATACGCGTATAGCGCGCGGCTCAGGTTATCTTGCAGCCGGAGCGAAGAATTTATTTTAATTAGAACCTCTCATGTATATACCGGCGGACGCGGCCGCGAGCGACCGTGACGTCAACGTCTGTTTCGGGAAGCCGGCGTCGCGGACGCGGCGTCTGCCGTGGAGCGGCGGCCCTCGCCGTCACATCTGCGCGGCACGTGACGTGTGCCGACGCCGGGGTATATAATGACGGCTCGCGGATGGGAAGCGGACCGTCAGTATCAGCGCTCGCATCGACCCAGCCTCCTCAGTTCTCTGGTAAGTCGTCTCTCTCTTTCTCTCTCTCTCTCTCTTTCTCTCTCTCTCTCTCTCTCTCTTTCTCTCTCTCTCTTTCTATCTCTCTATCTCTCTTTCTTGCTTTCTCTCT